TGGCCAATCAGAGCACACCTCGCTTTTCAGACCGATGAGCTTTGTAAAAATCGACACGTTTCAGAAAGACGGGGCATAGAGGAGAAACAATAATGTACAGTATGTGGAAAATAATGTGGTTTTTTAACTTTAAACCGCATAAACATTTCATTACACCAAATACACCAAATAATGTTCTTTTTAGCAGCATCATATGACCCCTTTAAGTTGCAAGATAAGATATTTGTTGGTGAGCTCAGGTTCTGGTAAGCAGCAAATACTCATGGTCTTGTCAGTCATCTCTCCTTATCCTTCACCTGGCTGTGTTCAGTCAAATCTGACTACTGCAGGCAGCTCTTTTTGGATGCAGGGTTGCCAAGTCCACGTTTCTTCCACAGAATTGGGCTACTTTTAAACTGTTGCCATGGGTTGATTTTCCCAAGTGGGTTAAAGGTTTGAAATATTGCATAAAATACATTTGACTGAAATGCCTGTATTGAAACATTTTGCATTCAACCTGTGATCAAACTTTCATGGACTTTTTCATTAACTGTTCCCTCCTGGTGGAATGACCTGCCCGGCTCAATCCAAGCAGCTGAGTCCTTAATCATTTTCAAGAAACGGAGATCTCTTTCGTCTATATTTGACCCTCTAACTGTAGGTCTCTCTATTCTATTTCTATTCTAACTTGTTTTATTTAAAAAGAAAAGATCCTTTAACACTAGCATTCTCTATTCTTTCTACTTATTTTCTTTGTATTTATTATAAATAATGACCTTCTAACACAACCATTATTCTTTTTCTGTTCTATTGACTTGTTTTATTTTTATTTAAAAATGAGCTTCTAATACTAGCATTCCCTGTTCTTTTTCTATTATATCTACTTGTTTTCTTTTTATTTATTCTAAAAACAAAACAAGCAAACAAAAAAAAACCTTGCTACGTATATGTTATGTATGCTACGTTAGACGAAACCCGCCTCCTCCGCATAACTTTTCAGTCATTTAAGTCGTCAATTATTCCTTACATATTCACGGTCATCCATGGCAACGCTGCTTCAGACTGCTATTTCGTATCTGCAGCCATTTTCAGATGACTTGAGTGTAATAAAATATATAATTAATATAAAATATAATAATATATGACTGTAATATTGCAATGTTTTGTCTTCTTGCTAGGCCATCATATTGGTTATTGTGGTTGTGTACTCTACTGGTTTTGCTATTGCCTTTGGCTGCCTTTCTGTGCTATTTATAATGTGAACATGTCGCTCGTGGGAATTTTTGAGTATGTTATGTTCTAAACTTGGGGGGACAGTTCTGACCAGTTTTTAGGGACGTGTGTATGCACATGCCAAGAGCCGTTTTCCCTGTGAGAGGAATAAGGAGTGACATTGTTTGGGCTGTTGGCGAAAATAAACTTTGACTGACCACTTTAAATGTCATAGACATAGGGTATTTATTATATCCTATGACATCACTGGATGTTTACAAGTGAAAGAGAAAATCTTTCACCTAACAAAAATCTTGTCCTTTCACATAAACCAATATCAAACAAAATTATTTCTTTTGCTTGTATTATTCACATTTATGTCACTTTGAATAAAATTTCTAGCTAAAGGTATAAATATAAATGCAAATGATTTTACAGTATAAAAAACAAACATTGATCATTATATATTAACAGCATTCTGCCTCGGCTAACTTTTGAAACAAAGTAACTAACAAGGATTTTCAATGTGGTTTGTCGCTGTGTGTGTTTCTTATCCAATAATGAAAGCCTGCATTAGCTCTTTCTTACATGCATCATTCTTACTTGTCCTTTTTCCACTCTTGAAGTGCTTGAAAGAGATTCTTTACACTCCTCAGACCACAGCATTCCTTCGGCTCTAAACAGTAGAGTAAGACACAGCACAGTCAAGGTCGTGTGTTTGATTCCCAGGGATGGGAATACATGCCGTGTAAATCACTTTGGATAAAAGTATCTGCCAGATGTAAATTAGCAAAAGGCCAAACAAAGTAGTTTCGCTTTCATAACAAAACACAGCGTCGCACACGGTGGCATAGAGTGAGCAGAGGCGGCGGGCTTGAGAACGGCGCAGCCTGCGGATTCGACAAAGGAGCGTCCGGAGGGCCTGCGGCAACCACATGTGATGACCCCGGGCTGGACTCCACTTCGTCCACGGTGAAAGCCGATCCGGTGATCCACAGAGCAAAGTTGTTGTATTTCCTCAGCAACCAGCACGGA